TTAATTTTACTAATGTTTTAATACTTATAATTTGAAAATTTAAAGTTAAAAAGTACTAAAAATAAAAAACGGTGTGGGCTCAACCGGGATTTGAACCCGGGACCTCTCGCACCCAAAGCGAGAATCATACCCCTAGACCATTGAGCCGCATGGCTCGAGTGTGACAGTACTGCGTTTTGTATTCATTTTACGACGCAATTCGTATTTATGCAACAAATATACAAATACACTTATACTTATATATAGCGATTTTTGTTTCGGTATCATTCAGAGTTTAATGTAAATTTATTTAAAATTATAGAAAACTTTGCTTTCAGAAGCATTAATGCTTTCAATATAGAATGAACAGATTTGCTATTTGTGTTGCAGTAAACAAATAAACTATTAAATAAGCTTTATTATACATACATATATGTGTAGGACTAGCTAGCTAAATTTATTAAATACATTAGCAAAAGATTAATTACCATTGGAGATGCGGGGCATCGATCCCCGTACCTCTCACATGCTAAGCGAGCGCTCTACCATCTGAGCTACATCCCCATGCAAGACGTACGTTGCGAATACATTTACAAACAAAGTAAGGTATTTCTGTATTCAATTTTTTAATGGTCAACAAACTTATAGCTATGTACACATTAATAACATGGCAAAATAGTCATTTAAATAATACTTCAGTTGACTTTGTGGGCCCCAATTAGTTGACGTAGTTGACTAGCCATAGTAGTTGCCGTAGCCGGGTCCAAAGCCGCCACCACCAAATTGGGCACCTGGATAGTAGCCGGAGTAGCCACCGAGTCCACCGCCGTATCCATAGCCTGGGTAACCACCGGGATAGCCGCCGCCGTATGATGGCACTAGCGGAGGTGCTGGATAAGCCTGTCCCAAAGGTTGACGTCCACCACCGAGTAGGCCACCCAAAAGATTGCTAAACAAGCCACCACCGCCACCTCCACCTAGCAGGCCATTCAAGCCAATAATACGATTACTGACTCCACCAGCTGGAGCTCCTGATGCAGAAGATACACCAGAGGCCCCTGCGGCACCAGTGGCGCCTGAGTTTGGATATTGGTATTGGGCATAGCAACTGCCGAGGAGTGCTAGCACCAAGAGCTGTTGGAATAGAATTGTGAGAAGTTGTGACTGAATATTGGCAAAAGATTTACTTACGGAACTGCTAATCTTCAACATGTCTGGATATTGTCTCTTACTTGACTGTTTGACTAACTCCAAGATGCTTCAGTTTTTATAAGACCATCACAGAATAAACGCCCACATAGGCCGGAACTGTGGAATTGTGTGACGACCTTAACCCCACGATTTGAACGCTATCAATGCTTTTCACATGATTTGTTAACATTTTCGCAATAGTTGCTTATACTAAATAAGTCGCATTAATATTTATGTCTTGGCTATAAAACAAGTTCTTCTCGTTATAACGTTAGTTTCTGAGTTCTTTGAACTCGTTGATAAGGAAGTACAGGAAATCTTCGAGAATACTATAAAAGTGACCACTCGGATCAACTGCGGGTTAGAAGCTGTCTACATCATGGGACCAAACAGAGTGAGTTCCAAAGTCATTGAAGAAAATTCCCCTAAATGTAATATATGTATATACATATATATGTATAAATATATTTTTTTCAGAGAATTATCTCGATGCTACTGCTGTGCGTGGCACTGGAGTCCAGCCAAGGTCATGGTTTTGGTGGCCACAAATTGGGCGGAGGCTTTGGTGTCGGCTATCCCGTGGCATATCCTGTGGCACAGCCAGTTCCAGTTCCGCAGCCAATTCCAGTGCCTCAGCCCGTGCCCGTTCCAGTCGCAGTGCCACAGCCGGTTCCGGTTCCATATCCAGTTGGCAAGCCATTTAAACACGGTTGGAAAGGCGGATTCGGAAGCGGTGGATTTGGTGGACTAGGTGGATATGGATATGGCGGATATGGCGGATTCGGTGGATATGAAAGCTATTCCTCATATAGTGGTGGATCATACGGCGGCTTTGGAGGTGGTTTTGGAGGCGGCTTCATAAGAAGACGTTAGAACTTTATTGTTATTTATAAATTAGTGCATTTAAGCTTCTTAAAAATATTATTTAATTGTTAATTGGAATGTCCTAAAAGCAAGATACATTACATTCGATAAACCCAGAGCTGTGTCTTGACAATTTTTTGTACTGTTACTTAGGTCTGCAACATATTTACATAAAATAAAAAAATGATTAGACATTCATATATAATTAATCAAATGAAACGAATTAAGTATTTCTTTTCAACTGAATGAAAATCAAAAAGTTGTTCCCGCCCGGGTTCGAACCGGGGACCTTGTGCGTGTGAAGCACACGTGATAACCACTACACTACGGAAACATATATCTCATAACCAACTTTTCGCCAACATGTGCTGTCATAATAGGACGCCACCTATTGTTCATTGCTGTTTATTAAGAAAAAATCTTTAGCATACCAACAAATAGGTATAACTGACAATTTTATTTCATATATTAGCAAAGTTTTTCTTTTATTTTATATATGTA